CACTCGACAGTCTCATTAACGAAATAAAATTGGACAACATTTTTTGTAGAAAATTAATTAGAAAAACAAAAACAAAAAATCAAAAATGTACATGAAAACTTTTTTTTTAATTTTGCTAATAAAATTAAAAGTTTTTTTGAAGTTTTTGGTTCCAAATTGGAGTTAGAAAACAAGTTATTTTGATTAAATCTATGCTTTAAGGGCTTAAACTAAGCAAAAATACGCAGTTTTAAGCCTTACCGCTGTGTTTATTTGCTCAAAATTAAATTTTAAATTTTTGAACCATTTTTTCTAATTTCTGAGAAAAAATTTTTTTTGAAAACTTTTTAAATTTTGTTCGAATCACGACTGAAATGGCTTCCCTTTTGGTATATCTCTCCAATCATTTCAATAATTGTTTGTTGTACTTGTTTTTGTTTGGAAATCAAAAGGAAAAAAAACGGAAACACGTCGAAATACTGTTTTCTTCAACATTTTTTCAAACGGTCGGAAGAATGAAAACTCGCATGAGAAAAAAATCTTGAAAAAACACTCGAAAACTATCAACTGAATAAGCGTTTTATATCAAAAGTTGACCTAATTATTTTGATATCTCAAAAAACAAAATAAATAAACTTAGAATTGTTTTAATGAATTAAGGTGATACTACATGGAAGTTAATAATAACCTTATTAGACTGATAAATTGATTCAACTCATCAAACATTTCATCAAATCTCTCATTGAGCTCGTTTTTACTTATCCTTGACCTTTTTCTATTAAATTATTATTAAAACCACAAACAGAGGAGGAAATACACACTAAAACCATGGATATATACTGATACACACTCAAAAAAAGTTAAAGAAATGGGAAAGTTTTGAAAAAAAAACGAGAAAGTTTTTTACAAGATGTTTTGTCGACAACACATAGGAAACGTGAGTCTAGCAATATTCGAATTCCAACCTAAGTCTACAGAATATCACATCAAAAATTGGATTGTTCAGTCTGTATATTTCACAGGAGCTGGAAAAAAGGTTCAAAATATCATATAAGTCCCATTTTTCACAACGGTAGTAATCAGACTCCTCAACAGATCACATCGCAGATGGCGAAAACCAACTTTTAATGATGATCAAGGAACTTCAAACAAAACAGAATTTTTAGTTTTCAAATTGAACCCCTCAAGTTTACAAAAAAAAACCAATCAGTTTTTGGTCGAAAATCCGGCCGCAACTTGGCAGCAAGTAGAAGACCATACACCAAGTACCAACATGTAACAAAGATTTTAGTTTGAATGCACGCAGCGAAATAATTGGAGGAGCATTTACTTAGGTTGTTATGAATTTAGAAGTAGATAGAAAAATAGATCAGTTTAAAAAAACTAACATGTTCATTGAAAGAAAACACACAAAAACTACGTAGCTAGCCCAAAAGAGCAACTAAAACGATCTAAACGATACCTGGCTTAATAATATGATGCCAAAGGATCAATATACACTATAAGTATTGGTTTTTGGTATAGATATCATAAAAAACAGTATCAGCAGCATTCCCAGAGTAAAGAGAACATTTCTGATACGAATAGAAGGTCTGGCCAAGTGAAGACCAGAGTTATAGTAAAAAGTCAGTACCAGGAAAATCATCAAAAATCGTATGATAAGTTATCTAATTGTTCTACAGACAAAAAAGTATCTTGAAAATAAAAATAAATCTTGCAATACAGTTGCAAAATTTTAGTTATTTGGCTTGATCAAGAGTGGGACAAGTCAAAATTGATCATTTAAAATTTCAATAAGTCAAGTACGCCATCAAATATGCCAACCAACCTTCTCCTAAGTTTTCAACTTTATTGGTATACTTAAGTCCAATAAGATTTGGTCCTCATACTGTGGCTTATTTTCTGATGTTTTTGGTCATTGACAAGAATTTTGATTTTTTAAATCTTCTTTCTTATAGTTCTTAGAAATGCTTTAACAATTTTTTTCATTAAAAAATTTAATGGTGTCAGATCAGTGACACCGAACAAAATAACTTTCATAAATACTTTTATTTTCACCGTGGTGAGTTTGTGTATGGTGGGTTTGTGTAACTTAACCTTTGTACGGAAACAAATGTCCCAATTGTCGGATTATGTTTGACACCGAAAAAATCAATGCATATTGTTGATTAGCAATGGAATGCAAACCAGATATGATCCAAAAGCTCTTAGCTAAACTAAACAAAGACGGATTCAGCAAAAAAAGAAGCAGAAGAAGCTCTACTGAGTATTAACTTTTAATGGGGAGAAAGAGCAAAATCTCAGAACGTGGTTGCCATACGATGATGATGATGATGATGTTGAACACCAAAAGGTCAGAACCGATTTTGATGAACACCACAAAGCTCCCGAAAGATACGATCAAGAAATGGTGTTCTTGGATTCTAACAAAATTAAGAATGATTAAAGGCTGACAAAGAGAGAAAAAGACAGAAAAGTAACACAAGTTTTCAGAAGAAACAATTATATAATGTTTTTTAGAGTGTGCTTTTCATTTCAAATTTTAAACCCTGAAATATAATCTTTAATTATAACTTGATACTAAAGTAATAGTGTGTTTCGAAAGACTATCCATCTAAAGAAGGCAGTGAGATGTAGCATTGCATTTACTACAATAATTTAAGATTTCACTTTTTTAAAAACCAGTCTGATTTAAAGAAGTGTTTCTACACTAACTTAGCGTTTAACTTCAAAACTACCTGTCCAATTCAGTTCGTTCTTTCAAAATTGGTTTAATATTTTCCCCTGCTTTGATCTAGATAATAAAAACAAATGTGTCGACCTTTAGGTGGACTGGTTATTTTGTTTTGCCTTGAAAAATGGACAATAAAGCGATCGGCATCCATTCTTTTTAAAGCCTAACAACAGACACTGACATTACAAGGCCAAACTGTGCATTCAGTGCATTGTAAGCGGAATCCGCAACAAGCCAAAATCAGGTTTGTCGTGGAATCCGCATCATTGCTACTTTTATTTGATTCTTTTTTGGTGTTTTGGATTCCACAAACAAATACCTTAAACACTGCACCGCTCACAATTGCTCCAAAAGTAGGCGAACTTGCGGACTTTGCAACAGCATTCACGGAACCCGGATTAGTTAGTTGATTTCACAAACAAATAATAAATCATGAGTATATTTAAAATAAGCTGTTGCAGAATCCGCAAGTGTAAGCGGAATCTGCAAATTGTAAGTGGAATCCGCAAATTGTAAGTGGAATCCGCATTTTGTTTGCGGATTCCATTACATATACGTATGTTTGTATTAACGTTATCAATTATATCATTTATTCACTATGTGATCACCAGCAAGTTCAATCTCAATTACTAAGTAAGCTAATTTATCAGTTCATTTCAAATCATTTCAATTAAAACATATACGTTTTAAATTACCCTTTGTTTTCAGCCAACCATCTCATCTCAAATACTGACAACTTCCACTAAGCATCTCATCTCAAATACTGATCACTTTAACTTTTAACTAACCATCTCATCTCAAATATTGATGTTTTCAAATCAAGTGCTCTGAACCCATTATAATCCCAAATTTTGATTTTATTCCAAGATTGTGTTTCCAAATACTGCCTTCATGATTTGAACTCACTAAAATCGGATATTACTAAATTAGTATTTGGAATTGATGGAATCCCAAATACTGACCTAATTGGGCGATATGCTGTATGTTTTGTTTCCAAACACTTTCAACTCAATTTCTCCTGGTAATGAATTTGATCGGTGTTGTGTTTCCAAAACTGTGATTCCAAAAATAGCTTGCTGGGATATGTATGGCAAATACTTAAAGGTGACATCCACCGATTAAGTTAACCAATTTTTTTTAAAATTTGTTCGTGAATTCCGCTGACAATGCTTAAATCCTTGCTTTTAAACTCTGAATTGCTAAAGATAACAATTCCAGCTCTAGTTTTTTTTAAATGTTCATATGCAAGTAAAGCAATAAACAATTTTCGGAATTCACTTACAGTTCGCGGAATCCGCTTACACATTTTGCGGATTACACTTACATTAGCGGTTTCTACTTACATTTTGCGGAATTCACTTACAGTTGCCGAATCCAGAAAAACTAGCTATGTTCGCTTGTTGCAGAACCCACGACACAAAAAATGTATCGACAAAATTTCCGCTAGAGGTTTATTTGTACGCGGATCCACGGAAGTTTTGTTAGTGGAATCCATTTACATTTTGGAATATGGTTTTTCATTTTTCGCTAGAATCCAGGAACATACAGACACAAAAATGTGCGCCTATTCAGTGCACAGGTTGGCCTCGTAATGGAATATTAGAACACCTTCAAACCATTGATTTGACAAATGGACAAATGTTTGATTTTTTTAAAATCAACACAAAACTACTGTAAAGTTTCCCTGTGAGTGGTAAGAGGAAAATTTTATCGAATGAAACGAAACGTTTGATGATTAAACAACGAGGAATTAACGCATTATCGCTCAATTTTGTGAAAAAAAAACATTTGCAAACTTAAACGTTTCCAGAACTGAGAGGTGTTTTTTTTAAATTGTTAAACTAACATAACCATTCAGAAGTGTCCAGAATTAGTGTTAAGAATAAAATAATTGTTCAAATTTTATGCTCTATCTATTTTAATTGCTTCTGTTGCTTTTATAATGATTTTTTCAACTCAAACAGATAAAAAAATCAATGAGATAAAGTTAGACTTGTAACGCTAACTTAAACTCACTGATATAGATGATCTGGACAAGATATATGACCGAGCCCTTGTTTCTCTTAGTAAAACTGCTACGCCCTAAGTATGACCATTTATATATATAATGCCGCTGAAAAGTAACCACTTATTGTCAAATTTTTCCAAAAATTGTAAAAACACCATTTTTTTCTAAAACAAATTTTTTCTAGTTCAAAATATTGTCACTTTAGAGCTTAGTTTAAACAAATTAAACTGATTGACCAAAGAAAGGTGACTATATTTTTTTCAAAAATCAGCCTCTTCAAGAATATTTCTGCACACGCTTGTTTCCACTACTAGACCAGGCCGCTCCTTAAAAATAAAATAGGCTTTATTTATCTGGATAACTTAAATTGAAAATAACCTTTCTATATATAAGAGCGACCGTTCAGATGTACAGTCAGGGGCTGATGTTGAACTTTCTCGAGGGAGCATATGTTCAGAAAAAAAACATTTCTCGTCCTTTTCTTACAACACTCTATGAAGATCTTTTTGAAACAAAACTTCAGTAATACACGCAAAGTTTTGCGAAAAAAAGACCAAAAACGACGTTTTTTGCAACCAAAAAAAGACCAAAAACGACGAACAAATGTCAATTTTAGGCACTATTTGGAATGCTTTGAGTATTCAGTGTGTCGGGGACCCTTTGAGCATTCAGTGTGTCGAATCCCTGAGAAAGGTCGCTCGCACATCCCCCCTCCTTAATCCGCTCCTGAAATTATATATATTCGTGCGGTTGTCTTTTAGGTTTGTTTTTTGTAGTTATGCAGTTTATTTGTTCTTTTTTATAGTCAAAAGTTTGATGAAGGTGAACACGATGAAAACAGTTGCAATCACTGCCACCATCCCCAGTTCGAACCACTTGTCCTCTGATTTGTATGGCATGTCAGCATTGCTCAGCTGATCCTTACCGGTGATACACATCTCGCCTGATATTACAGTCCCATTTTCCAACCTCAGACTCCTTTCGCCGCAGAACTTCAGAGGACTGATGATTGGGATACTCACAGCATTCATTCCATACCTCATGATGCTGAGATACTGCGGCCAAGAAAGAACTTTAGGCACGCTGCTCAAGTTGATCAGAAGTCCCGAAAACAGGAAAAACAGAATCATTGTCAATGTCATTAGTGCCGATGCCAGAGACAGAACGCCGGCCAAAACGCTGAAGAAAAAGGCGACGCCACTTGCGGATAAGCAAATCAGAAACCCTCCCAGAACTGTAAAGATAAAGGCTCCGAAATCGGCAGGAAAACCAGCCATCCAGTAGAAAATGCTTATGAAAATTGTCGCTGGCAGAAACTGCTGAAGGGCCATGTCAACTGCGAGCTTCGAAATGAAAAACGCTCCTGTACTGTAATAGCCATTTGACAGTTCATGCAAGAAGATAGCCCGTCCTCCTATAAATAGCTCGATAGCTGCGAGATTTTGAAACATCACATTTACAACGAGGAACGCCACAGCTCCGTAGTAGTTTCGGAACCCGGTTATTGAAACGTCCAGGTCGAACCAAACCAAGCCGCAGACAATTCCGATCATGGCGCTCACGATTGAAGGCATTATGCACTTTTGAGGGTTCCTTATGAAGTCTTTGAACTGTCGCTGCAGTAAAAAGAGTAGTTGGAAGAAGAAGTTTACGCTGAAATCCTTCTTCGAATGCGATTCCGCTTCGTCGACTTTTTTCTTACTGGAAACTGTGATTGCTTCGCAGTCGCCGAGGATACTTCGATGTTCGGCCGAGTCGCGAAACATTTTGGGCAAATTCATTTTTTCGGTTTTTTCATCATCGTCGTCTTCGTCGTCTGCCATTTGCTTAATGCTAACTTTGTAAGACTTCTTGGCTGAATCCTCATTCACGAGTTGCATGGCTTTGTTGTCGTATGCCAGAGGCTCATTTTGTTCGTTGGCGTCGCTGTTTTTCATGATCACATCTAGAAAAAAGTCTGCCGGGTTGTTGTGAGCTTCGCACGTGAGTCCAATCTTTTCGAGAAAATTCACAGCTTCGGCTGACTTTCCGTGGAAGACAGTCTGACCGAAACACGATAGAAGGTGCAGCCGGTCGAACATGGAGAAGATGGCATAGCGGGGTTGGTGTATACTGAATATGACTGTGCAACCTCGGCTAATTGCCAGTTTGCGCACACTGATCATCACCGAGTAAGACATAGATGCATCCAGTCCAGTCGTAGGCTCATCTGGAGAAAAAAAACATTGAGATTGCTGAGGAACAAATCAATTTTCAGCATCACTGTGCAAAAGGTTGTTTGGAGAGAAGCGATGCTGAAGTAGTTAACGGATCTTGGAAAGGCCGGATCTTTGCAACCTCCATAACAAAAATGAAAATGTTTTCTTTTTTAAAGATGTTTTGATCTGAAATTTCAACAGCTAGTTTTATAGAGATAGTTTTTCGCTCTAATTTCTTGCACAAATGGAAATTAATTTGCGTTAAAATGTTAAAATCGCTGAATTACACCTAATGGCAAAGTTGCTCGCCACTTCAATGTTCGGAGCAATAATACTTAAACTGACCGAGGAAAAGAATATCTGGCAGAGTGATCAACTCCATTGCAATATTACATCTCTTCCGCTCTCCGCCCGACACCCCTTTGATCATCTCATTGCCCACTTTAGTGTCCGCACACTTGTTCAGATTCAGTTCGGACAGGAGGTCGTCAATCACTCGGTCTCTTTCCTCTGATCCTGTCGTGTTCAGTCGTAGATTGGCGGCAAAGGTGATGTTCTCTCGCACAGTTAGAGTGCCATAGACAACGTCATCTTGCACTACATAACTGAAATGACAATCAATCAATAAAAAGAAAATATTCTTATACTGAGAGGGGGATTGTGCACTGAAAACCGCAATTTTATGATTAAAATCAAAATTGTTGGCCCGTTTTCTCAAAAACATTTCTAGGCCTCAAAAATAAACATTTCAAAAACAACTAATAAAAGATAACAAGAATGCTCGTATCAGGGCGAAGCCCTGAATGTTCCGACTGTCTTTTAAGGTTTATGGAGCAGCAGTAATAACAAAAAAAACTTAAATGAAATAAAATAAAATGAAGTTTTTTTTTCTAAAACTTGAAATTTTTTATAAAAATCATCCCCCCACACGCCATATAAAGTATAAGAAGATAGATTTCGTTCCTTGTAACAAATCAATTATGGCAAATAAGTTTCGTTCAACCAATTTGGAACGATTTATAAGACGGATTAAATCTCCGCTTACGCGTTAATAGCGCGAATTATATCGCGCGTTAATTGTCCCAAATTGGTCAAAATGGCAATCTTTAAACCCTCATAACTTTACGAAAAATGATCACAGGTGAAATATCTTTTCAAATTTAAGCTCAGGACAACAATACCTTTTGAATGATAAAAAAAAATTCCGTCAAAAATGGCTAGTTAAAAAGTCGAAATTTGTCTGAAGAAAAAAAAAACCCACCCCGAGCACAAATATTCCGTTACTTTCGTTTCGAAAGTCGGAACAATTAGCAACCATACACATCCATAGTTTTAATGGAAAATGACTAAACATCAGTCGCATAGAGATAATTATCAAAACCCATCAAAAAAACCTTCACTGGTGAAAGAATCGGAAAAACAATTCCTACTGTTACAGTTGCTGTTGGGAAATCAGTAGAGGATTACAAAGAGGAGAGGGGGAGGCGCACTATACTTTTCTCAAAAGTTCGCTTACAAATTTTGCGGATTCCTCTTACATTTTGCGGAATCCACTTACAGTTGCGGATTCCAGAACAACTAGCTATATTTGCTTGTTGCGGAATCCGCAACAAAACAAATGTGCCGACAAAAATTACGTTACAGGTATTTGTACGCGGAATCCACTAAAATTTTCTTAGTGGAACCCGCATCCGTTTAGGCGTAAATAATCGATTATAACGGATTATTATGATGTTTTTTTGACAATTATAATCGATTATAATTACCAAAATTAGGTCTTTAAGGGATTTATAATTGATTATAATCGTGATATTTTCCAAGAGATTATTATCTCTTATAATCGATTATAATTGCTTATAATTGATTGTAGTTCTTACTAAAAACCCTTAAAATCAATTATAATCGATTATAATTGATTATAATCTCTTATTTTGCCGAAGTTTTCTTATATTCGTAATATATCTTATGGGTTATTTTTTTGTGTCAAAAAAAATCTCTAAAAGAGAGATCTCTTGAACACTTTGGTTCATCTGAACACAAAGTTATACCGCGAAACAAAAGTTTCATAGAGATCCTTTCATATGAGTGAAAAGGTTCTCGCGGTAGATGAAAAATAAATTTTCCGAATCAATCAAGAAACTAAATCAATTTGCTGATGTTTTGGTGTTTAAAAAAGCTTAAAATATGCATCCCAAAACAACTCTAATGGGGAAGAAATGAAAAAAAAAAACTTATGAATTTGGATTAATTGGAAAACTTTAAAAACATTTTTCTCATTTTTCATAGGAACCAACGTACACAAAAAGCATAAAATATAAGCAATTTAGATGCAACTTCGAAGACAAAAATGGACAAACAAAAGGGATTAATCAATTATAATCAATTATAATGGATTTTTGTGCAAAACTAATAAAACAGAAATTTGAATAAAAATAATGGATTATAATCAATTATAATCGATTATAACTATATCGAAAAATAGACGAATAAATAATCGATTATAATCGATTATAATGGATTAAAATTAATTATAATTTGAATTTAAAAAGAGAGATTATAATCGATTATTAATTGATTAAAATTGATTGTTTCTCAATTTTAGTGAGACTGGTACTAAAATCGTAATATAATCGATTATTAACGCTTGAAACTGGATGCGGGAATCCACTTACATTTTGGAACATATTTAAAGACTTGTCTCTGGAATCCAGGAAAATACAGTCACACACAAAATTGTGCGCCTATCCAGTGCACAGTATGGCCTCATAAATGGACCCCCTGGCCACCAAAAGTACACTTTTGGACTTTTTTAGGATAATGATTTTGTGCTAACCGATGCTAAGTGTTTTCTGAAATTGCTTTAGCGCAAGTATATACCAGTTTTGAAAGGTAGCGCATAAGTTCAAAAACTTCCAAACGGCGTTTTTCAAAAACTTTACAGACTTAGTCAAAATAGTGTCTTTATCATGATTTTGGAGAGCTCGGAAAATCATTTTGTTTGGAGAGCTCGGAAAATCATTTTGCATTTCATTTTAGAAACGAAAAACTTGAAAATCCCTGCCACCCACATCGAGAAACTCCTAGATCCGCCCCCTATTGGAATGACTGAAAAATCATTAACATACAAAACAAACGAAGCACCATATTTAATACAATCTATGAAAAAAGTCCCCATAATTAAAAAATGAGCAATCATACATCACGGTCAATTATGGAAAATTCGTTAATTTAAAAAGACGTAAGTTTTCCATGGCTTCTATTGCACGGCACCTACCCCATATGGTCATATGATGCAACTAATAGCTACACATTTCACTCAGTCATAGTTCACTACAAACACAAACACACAAACATATAATTTATTTTATAGAGCTGCTTCCAGAATATATATATATATATATATATACAGGGGCGGATCTAGGATTTTCTCGAGGGGGGGGGCGGATTTTCAAAAAATTTTCCAAAATTTTGACGACCTTTTTTTTTTTTTTTAGGTCGACCAAATTGATTTTTCGAGCTCTCCCAAAGCACTGTTTTGCCCCAATTTTGGCAAAATTTTCTGCGCCGCAGGCAAATTTTTGAAAAAACAGTCAAAAAAGCCGTTTTTGGGCACTTTTTGATAAATTTAAAAATTTTGACAAAAAATAGCGTTTTTTTTGGCGCGCGCTCCCCCTCAAAGTTAGTATATATTGGCGCCAAAGGCGCCTTTAGAAAAATTTTAGGGTCGGTCTGCCAAAAATGGATTTCTGAAAAAGTATCAAAGGGGGGACCCTTTGGGTCGGCAGGGGGTCGAATCCCTGAGGGGGGGGGCGTCCGCCCCCCCCCCCTAAATCCGCCCCTGTATATATATATATATATATATATGTATATATATATATTTATAGATAGCTTTTTTAAACAATATAGATATAAAAATGTGCTGGAAGATATTAAAAAGGATAATTTGGCGGATGTTTATAAAAATTGATTGAGCAATGGGCAGTTTTGAAAAAGTAACAGTTTACTCTTATTCGGACTGCAGTAATTTATTCTACACTCACCCTGCAATGTGTTTGTAGTAACTCGGGTATTCCCTTCCATTCAGAAGAATATCGCCACTCATTTCGTTTTTCTTCACGTCTCGTCTCTTAGCCAGAAGATCCAGTAGACTCGTTTTCCCACCTCCACTCGGACCCAAAATGGCATTCAACCCCGGCTCGAAAAACCCACTGACACCATCGAGCACTTTCTTTTCTTTCTTCTTACACAGTTTTCCCACTTGGGTTCGGTAGGTTAGGTTGTGAAATGATATCACACTGCGCTTTGATTTAAAATCACCTGTTTTTGAACCCATTTGATCAGAGCTCATTTTTATGACCGGAAAAGTACGATCGCTCGTTCAGAAAAACGTTTAAAAAAGCACTGAAATCAGAGAATGAACGTAAGTTTATAATCATTCAACCGAATATAATGATAATTAAATTTTCTCAAGTAAGAAACTTGTCTTTTCAAATAGTTTAAAATTTTGCATGTCATTGTATGATTTGCATTGAGTTTCGTTAAAAGTGTATATTAAATTTGTATATTTGATATCATAAACTTTAATTATATGGTAAAAGTTATAATTGAAAATTGTGTTACGCATGTATGTTTTTCAATACTTTTAGCCACGCAAATAGAGCAACAACACAAAATAAAATTTAGGTTGTTTGAGAGAAAAAAAAATGAAAAGTGATCAGTTTGGGACAACTAACTCGAAATCAAATTCATTTTTTTTTTCATTCATGGTCTCAATTTTTATAAGCAACAACTATTTTATGGATGTTAAATTGCATTCAGATCATGCCGAGCTTCGCGCTAATACGAGCAGTTTCGTTTCTACTTTATGTTTTAACCTGCTTGTTAAATTTTTTTGGACAAAGAATTTCTACAAATTCTTCTAAATAACATAGGCCGTCAATTTTAAAAAAGTCCTGCAACTCCCTCTCAAGGCAATAATTTTTTGTTGTTAGAATAGTGTTTCGAACTCATCATAACCTTGTTATAATCTCATTGTTTGTCTTGAAAAGGAATCGGAATTTTCGCAAAATTATTACATCAATAGTTTGAATTACAGTTTGGTCGTAAAATTGATTACAGTTTGGTCGAAAAAAAAACTTTGAATTGAACAGACTTCAGAAGTTAAGAATTTATGATAGCATATCTTGCCGTATTGAATTTCCAGTTATCGTTTCGACTACGAAAAGCACTAGCGGAAATTGTTTGCTCGGTATTTTTCTAAGCTTGGCTATGTTCAGGTTTCAATTTTTTTGAAAAAAATTTATTATACTATTTGGAAAACAAAAAAAACTGCTCGTACCAGGGCGAAACCATGGATGTTCCGATCGTTTTTTAAGGTTTTAAAGTCTATCGAGCAGTATTAGCAAGAAAAATTTAAAAGTAATTAAAATATTATGAAAACACCCACACGCCATATAAGGTACAAAGTGGTAAATTTTGCTCCTAGTAACATCAGTCATGGCAAATAAGCTTCCTTCAACCAATTTGGAACAACTTCTAAGACAGATTCAATTTCCGCTTACGCGTTATTAGCGCAAAATATATCGCGCCTTAATTGTCCCAAATTGGCCAAAATGGCAATCTTTAAACCCCCATAACTTCAGAAAAAATGATCACAGGTGAAATATCTTTTCCAATTTAAGCTCAGGACAACAATATTTTTTAAATGATATAAAAATCCCGTAAAAAATGGGTAGTTAAAAAGTCGAAATTTGCCTGAAGAAAAAAAACCCAACCGAGCACAAATATTCTGTTACTTTCGTTAGGAAAGTCGGAATAATAATTTCTGGAGTTCAAAAATAGAACGATATTTTTTCTGTGATTATTTGTTTTGCAGTTTTGTAATTGTCGTTTTGACCCATTTAGTATGAATAATTGGCATGAAGTTTTTGAACGCGTACTAAAGGCAGGCGGATTGAAACGCCGCAAAAATTAATTCAATTTGAATTAAAGCAAGTCAAATGCTCTAACTAAAATAGTTATTGTTCCGACTTTTAAAAACAGTTACTGATTATTTGAGCTCGGGCGTGGTTTATAAAGCCATATTTTAACTTTTATTTTAAGTGCGCTGCTTTGAAAAGTATACTTTGAAGAGAAACTGTTAAATGTATTTCAAACAATTTTTTTTTTTCAATTCTATACACGGGCAACCATGGAGATCTGAGAAGATCTCGACAAAAATTGATAAATTGAACGTTCCTATTGCTTTTAAGAATTTGGAAATAAATTATGTCAATTATTTGAAAATTATTTGTCAATTCCATTTTTTTTTTAAAAAAAAGATATAATATTTATGCTCGGGATGGTTTTTTTTCTCCAGACAAACTTCGACTTTTTATCTAATCTTTTTTGTTGGTCAGTTTGTAATTCATACTGTTTTGATTTAATTTGTTGAAAAAAACGTCAAAAGCGAATACATAAGCCCGAAAGCCCTGAATGTTCTCACTGCCTTTTGAGGTCTACAAAGTAGCGTTTGCTTTCAAACTTTTGAGAATAATTTTAAAAAATGACAAAACTTTGAAAATCATACAGACACTACAGACATTTCAATAATGTTAAGTAGAAAAGAAAAAAATGGCTCAAAGCAAAGTATTAAAAAGACTGGTAGCATGCGTCATTTCAATTTAGAACGATTCTTAAGAAGCATCAAAACTTCTCTGACGCGTTAACAGCACGAAATATATCGCGTTTTGATTGTCGCATTCTGGCCGTATTTTTAAAATTTGGAACCCCCACATGTTTACATAAAATAATCAAAAATGAAAAAAAAATTAAAGAACTTGAGTTCAGGACAACAATATCTTTCGACTGATATAATAAAAACTCCGCCAAAAATTGTTAATTAAAAAAACAAAATTTGTCTGGAGAAAAAAAGCAAACCGAGCACAGATATTCCGGCACTTTCTTCGAAAGCTATTTGTCATACCAAACTTTTCTAAATTAATATCAAGGCAATTATCCAAAAAGCTCTGGAGCTAATCTCCTATATTACACAAGAAGGCAGAAGGTATGCTATACATAGCATTTTATTCTCCATCGAATGCTGGATAGTTGCTGAAATTTGCTTTGAAAAGTTTTAATTAGTTTTTGTCGTGAGCTGAAATCCTCAGATCTTCATGTTTTTATACCTTTATGAATGAAAAAAAAACTGTTTGGCGAGGCTTAGAGGAAAATAGAAAAAAATTGTTTTTTGTTCCGACTATTTTTGAAAAAATTGGTAGAATATTTGTGTTCGAGGTGGTTTTTTTCTCCCGACAATTTTCGATTGATTAACTACACGTTTCAGAATAATTGTTTTCCTCGTTCAAAAAGTATTGTTGTCATGAGCTCAATTTACAAATTATATATGGGGCTTCAATAAAAAAATTACGGGGCTTAAAGATAGCCATTTTGGGACAATTAACGCGCGACAGGTTTTGTGCTTTTAACGCGTAAACGTAGACTTAATCAGTTTTAATCATTTTGATCCAAAAAGAATTGAGGCAAACTATTTGGTGTATTTAATACATTGCTATGTGCGAAAAATTTCATTTTGTATCATCTCAAAATTTTGTTTGTAACTTTTTGTTTAAAAAAAATTAACTGTCTGCTTCACGTGAACACTATCGCATCAACCTAAAAACATTCGGAACTTTCAGGGCTTTTTGTTGATACAATAATTTTGTTTTTTTTTCTTGTCAATTTTTTTACTTGTACGGATTTACAAAGTCCTCTATACAGATCAAAAATCAACTTTCAAGTAAACCAGGATGATGACGACTATGGTGACGTAAGAGCAGATGGATGAAATTTGGATTTGCTCATGTCTCACACTGAGGTCGAATATAATTGTAGTGCAAAAATTGAGTCAAAAATTTGGATGTGCATTCTGCGAATTGGTGACTTTGAAACAAAGTGAGCTTCTGGTACAAATATTACAAAATTTTACGAAGACATTGTGCTCTTATCGGGCTGCTCTCACTTAATTGGCCTAAAATAGTTTTTGAGCTATGAAATACTGACAAACTATAGATTTTAGGCGGATAAAAGTAAAACTCCAGCATTGAAACTCGAGTCATATATGAAATAATAAGACCAATTAGCTATATCTTCAGTTCAATTTGAAATAATTTTGTGGTGCGAGTAAAATCGCCAGAAGTAAAAAACGCGCGTTACACTTTAAGCATCAAAATATAAAACGAGAACTTAGTTAAAATGTATTAGTAACTGATAAATTAACTTTTCAAAAAATGAGAAAATTGCATATATTTTTTTAAATTTTACTTTCTTAATTTTATTCCCCGCAAGCTATTTAAAGTACCAACTGATAAATTTTGCGTGAGGTAACGTTTTATAAGAACAAATTGCTTGGTTCAGTTAAATTGGAAAAGATCTACTTTGCCGCGTGCCCTTCAAATTTCAAACTATTACAACTTTGTGAAAAAAGATCACAGATAAAATAAGTTTTTAAATTTGAGCTTAGGACACCAATATCTTTCAGATGGTTTTAAAGAAAAATTGTCAAAATCATTCGTAAAAAACTCTAAAATTGACTGAAAAAAAATAATAAACCCAAGCATAAATATTCGACAATTTCTTCGAAAGTCGGAACAACTAGTGAATAAGGACCTTTGTTTTTTCTTTCGGTCATACTAAAAAAAACTTTATTTTTCAAGCTAACACTTCATGCTGGTTGCACTTAAATCCAAACATTTTTCGTTTAATGCGGTGTAATTTTGCCTAAACCTAATAAAGGACCCCAAACTCAAGGAAAAGTTCAATTTTCTAACTTTGGGATCAACTTTAATGCTGGTAATTTTTTATTCACTTCGCACAAAACGCAACGAATGCTCGTATGTTGCCGTTCGATTACTTTCGCTATCTGACTATAGCTTCTAGAAAACACTAGGTTAACTATATGCCATATAAATGCTCTATTGTTGTTTTTTTTTTTTAATTTACCTTCCAGAAATGAAGAAAAATAACAGGACAAAAAGTTCAAATTTGAAAAATACCGAAAATTGTTTGGGTTTTGATTGAACGCGTTTTTCAATTAAAGAAAAGTGTAGACTTAGATTTTTATCGTTCTTATTCGGTCACGAATATTTCACGCAAGTGATAACAGACGCATGTTATCAAAATATGATCACAGTTTTTGCCATTTGATCACAGAAACCTGGTTCAATTGTAGGATTCATACGAAAAAATTGTCAACTTCGAAATGGGCGTTTCGTCAGTAAAGAACCGAGACTTCACCCTCTATTTTGGGCTTTCCATTTCAGCAGTGATAATCGTTATACTCATAGTTTATATTGTAAAATGGAACAGATACAGGTGATTGTTTAGCACTTTCAAAATAAAATCTTACTTCAGCATATGATTTTCGTTGAATTTCTTTTAATTATTAAATCAATAAATGAAATGATCATTCAAAATTTTGTGACTCTATGATTAAAAATATTTCGTAAA